CTCTTTCCTCAATTTCTGCCCGCACAGAGAATATCTTACGAGCTTTTGTAACGGGCCCCTTGCCCATCAATTTTTTTTTCTCTCGCACATTCAAATTAATTTGAGACGTGACTTCTACGTGGGTGAGTGTGTTTCCTACTGAAACGTAACTTTCCTACATACATAGCAGAAGGCTCGGCTTAGACTCGTCCTTCTCGAACGACAATTAGAACACAGAGAGAGACACGGGGGGATGGTGATCAGAAATTCATTCGCGCATAACTAAGTTCTTCGGACGAATTCTTTAAGCGACGAACGGTCGGCATTTACGGCTTCGTTAGCGCCCCCCCTCCTTCTCAACCCCTCCTACACAAACACAGACGCACACAAACATTCAGAAGTGCTTCTGCGAATTGTTTCAGACTAGTCACGCTTCAGCTCCCAAGAGACATCGACTGGCAGAAAAGGGTCTGGGGTCGGCGACGTTCTTCGTAATGAAGCAAATTAGATGCAACGGAACGCTTTGTCGGCGGCGCTAACGACGCCTCATAAACTCCATCAAATTGAGCACGAACTTAGGACAAAAACGTGCGCTTAACTGCCCAAATTTAATAGCTTCGAACGTGCTGTGCGTGGCGAGTGTGGAATCGACCCTGAACGGTCTTCCGCGCTGAGTTATGAGGGGAAAGCGTAGCGGCGCAAAAAATGTCCGGTATTTTGTTTGTTTGTGGCGCCGGCGGAAATATATACGCTTTTAGGTGTCTTGGGCGCAGAAAATGTGAGCGCAACTACCTCTGAGTCTTACTACAGGAGGCCTAATGCGGTGTGAGGAAAATTACGCCGTGTACACCGGCGTCATTTTATATGCTAACGAGATGTTTGAAACGACTGCGTCACTCTCCTATGCATGAGTGTGTGCTAAACAACGCAAAATCTGATCCAGTAAATATCCTAAAACAAGTTGCGTGTCAAAAATTGCTTAACTTACTTTAGCATCTAAAAGTAATTGCCCTAAAACTATGACTGCAACATGATCCATAAAACAACAATGAAAACGTTAGGTGGCAGAATTTAATTAAATACTCGGTTTAATGTAACAGATAGAAATAGTAAGTGTCACCCGATATAATTTTTAAGGATAAATTCAAATTAAGAAGAAACGCTTTGTAGAAAAACGCTTTCTGCAGTAAAGTGTGATAAGTGCCGCCTCGCTGCCCCACGGTTGGAACACGTTAGAAGGCACCTGTAACCATTGATAAACCTAAACTCGATGATGCTCTTAGTGCTTCAATTCTTTTATTTTTTCTTTGAATGACGCCGGGTACACAGGCGTTATTAACCATTATTAATCATTAACTGTTTCATGGAGAGCAGCCGGAGTTGTATGTAACCACGAAAAACGGCACCTAGTCCCATTGGCTGAGGGTAACGGCACCTAAATGCCCATTGGATGAGCGAAACCGTACCTAAATGCGACTCACGAAGCACGCGCGTTCAGAAATAAAACTCAGAGAAAAGCACAGCAATGCAGATTTATTGTCACGGATAGCGTAGAGCCGGCGGGGTTCGCCGCACCTGCGCAGTAGGGGAGTGTGATGTAACCGCCGGAGCGCCGTGCGCTGTGATGATGTGGCTCGCAGCTTGTGGGGATGCTTTCGGATTCCTACCCGTTAGCAGTCCTAAATGTTTCTTTTACTGTTATACTACACCTGCTAACACTGCATATCTTTTCATATGCGCTGAAAATGTGGAAACGAGTAACTTAGATACGTGACGCAATTTTAAGAGGCGAATTCAGCCTCCCTTCGAGGCAGAAACCAGCAAATCTACATATACAATACAAGCCCATAAGATTTTCCCGGGCGGAGAGAAATTATGGTCTTTTGATCTGGTCATTGGCAGCTCAATTGCGCTTGTGTAGACTAATTTCTGAACGCGCTACGCTTTAGGGCTATACAATGTAGCCCAATGACTACATTTGCACAGCGTCGGATTTTTGTAACCTTAACCTTTTTCTGACTCCATATATAAATGCCCTTAAAACAGTTTTACGATGATTTGTTTTTCTCACCTCGCTCAATCTTTATTTAAATGTAGTGCCAGCGGTTTGGACCAGGTGCCAAAGTTTTACAGCTTGCCGTTACCTGATTTAGAAGTTCTAAGCGATTTGCGGTCATTTTTATTGAGCAAATGGTGGCCGACTATGGTGTACGAATACACTGAAATGATTGTCGTCTGCCACTGGGAAAGGGTCTCATTTTCTCATTTAAAATTTCCGAAAACATTCTATAGACCAACTCGACTCTCTGGTGTCACGCCACTCTTGTGGCGCTGCCGCCGCCACTGCGCATGCGCAGATGCTTCGCGTCGGGCGAATGTGGTTTCTGCGCGTGCGCAGTGCCCACAGCTGGTGGGGGCAAACGCAGCTTGTTTTTAAACAGTGGGTTCGTCGATACCTTATAAATGAGAAAACGACAAACTTTGAAACGTTTTACATTTAGTCAGTACAGCTTGCGTTCATGGACACATGCGGGAGAAGACTAAACGTTCGACGTTGCGAATATCTTTTGAACGACGAAAGTAATCCCTGGAGAAGGGGAACAAGAGGGACAAAGGACAAACATAAATCTCCAAATACAGCTAGGTGACTGGTGAGCGACCAAAAAAATCCGCCTGGTCCGGGTATCGAACCCGGAACCTCTCCATTAGAAGTGGAGCGCTCTACCAACTGAGTAGAGCGCTCAGTGACGTCTAAGGGTTAGACGTCTACTGACGTCTAACCAGGGGTTAGACGTCAGTAGAGCAAACGGGTTTTATCAGCTGCCACCAGTCGAATACCAACAAGGGTGAAGCTTGCAATTTAAGGTTATAATTATAATGCAATTAAATGCAAAGGTGCAAGCGAGCTGGACAAGAATGACGAAATGACGAAAAAACCCGTTTGCTCTACTGACGTTTAACCCCTGGTTAGCTCAGTTGGTAGAGCGCTCCACTTGTAATGGAGAGGTCCCGGGTTCGATACCCAGACCAGGTGGATTTTTTCGGTCGCTCACCAGTCACCAAGCTGTATTTGGAGATTTATGTTTGTCCTTTGTCCCTCTTGTTCCCCTTCTCCAGGGATTACTTTCGTCGTTCTTGTCCCGGGTTCGATACCCGGACCAGGCGGATTTTTTCGGTCGCTCACCAGTCACCTAGCTGTATTTGGAGATTTATGTTTGTCCTTTGTCCCTCTTGTTCCCCTTCTCCAGGGATTACTTTCGTCATTATTGTCCAGCTCTCTTGCACCCTTGCATTTAATTGCATTATAATTATATATTTTTAACACTGCAAAATTTTATTTGTGGGAGTCCGGTACAATCAAGCGTATTTCTGTTCACAAAGCAAGCAACTGTACTCGCCGGTACAGTGATGCAGAGTAGGAATAACTTCCCGAAAAAGAATCGCAAACGCCTCTCCTCCAATATATGTTCCAGGAACAAGTGATGTAAGCGAACCGCGATGATTTCATGCGGAAAGCGCTGCGCAGTCAAGACTTGCGAGCTCGTCGCCGAACCCAAAAGTCTAACCCCACGCGCCGCAACCAACGGCTGAAGTCGTAGTAACGAAGGCCTTTTGAAAGAGACTCTCTTTCCCCGAAGATGCATCATCAGGTCTTAACAGCCTCCTAGGCTGAGTGATGGGAACACGAGAGCTCACCCAGCGTGCCATTCGAGCTTCGAGCAGGCCGATTACTGCAGGAGTCCCCGACAGTAGAGGCACTAGCCATCCCAAACCGGATAGATAGATGGATGGCTGCGATCGAATCGCCAACTCTTAAAACCCTCTTTCCCCGGGGGCTGATGAAAAATCGATGCTAATTCCTCCTGTCGAGCGATCGGGATTCAGCCGACGGAAAAACCGGTGGCTTCCTGCGCTCCTGGCGAGTAACGCACGGCGCGAAAAGCCCATAGCTGCCGGGGAATGTTCATGCGAGGAAAATGAGTCACGCTTGAGATACAGTATAACGAAGAAGAGGCGGTACGCCGGGAAGCGCGAGGATTTATTTTCCTGGCGGTCGAGACGCTTTTGGGAAGGAAAGTTCGGCGTGTAATTCGTTTTCCGGTTTCTGGCAGTCGGCCTCTTTTTAGCCTTTCTCCTTTGTGTTCATTTATCTTTTCAACTTACCAACGTCGTCGCGACTCTTGGTCCGGCACACGGCGTAAAGATGCCGACGTTTGGAAAGAATTTTTCCCGCTTCCTGGTGGATAGATTCAGCATTTCCGAATATCTCGCTACCCACAGCGTGAGATGAACAACGTCAGAACATTCTTTAGAAGCATCTCAGATCCCAGAACTAAGGCAGATTTTTTTCTTTTTAAGACAGCTCAAGAAACTTTTTTTATTTAACTTTTGTGTGGTTTTGATGCTATATCTGTCATTTCTGCCGGAGGTATTTCGCACAATTCGTTATTACAGCTCGTCTTACAGAGCCGATGCGAATGTGTTGAAAACCTAACGAAGTCAAATTTACGTGTTCTATCTTGGTTGTTTATAAACCCCAATAATCACTGACAAAGTGAGAATGTTGTTTTGCTTTGTTGCGAGCTTTCCACCTTCGACAACGCCTCAACGTCTAGAGTGCATTTCGAGTGCGAGCGCGCAGCCGAAGTACGGCGCAAGGCACGCATGAGCTAAGGGACGGGCGTTAGGAAGGTACGCCCTGCAGTTTTCGCTCTGTCGGAGACTAAACCAAAAATAATAAACAACGGGATGCGCGTTCCATCGCCGCGCTCATTTCTTGACAACCTTTTGCTCTACATTGTGCTTTATATATGGACCGCATTAAGGAGTATTCGCACTGGGGAGAAATCCATCCTTTTTGCTCCCCGGAATGCGCATCACGTGGTAACAACGTAACGCTTTTGCGCGGATCCGCGCTGACGTAAACATCCCAGAGAAATAAGGGAACTTTTGTTCGGGGCGCACACCTTGGCGGGGATCTTTTTTTCAATTTGCGGTTTTTGTTCGCGTGTCGGGCAACTTTACAAATTTTGCTCAGCCAGGTGCCTACAAATTTTGCTCAGCCAGACCCTTTCCGAAATTCAGTCTGGTCACTTCAGTAGCTATCATCACCGTCATCTTGACGGTGCTCAAAAGTGCGGCTGGCCACATTGTACGAGGGAGGCGCCGCCAACGCCGCCAAGAGCATGTACGGCATCGCGAGTACGAGCTCTGCTGCTGCTGGCAGTCTAACAGTTTCGTGGACCACACGTTTGTCGCCCATTTCAGACTTTCAGCCCGGTCGAGGACTGCGCCTGTGGCAGCATTAACGCAGTCGTCGATGTTACAATCGTTCACTACGCTGTCTTCAGTTGCGACTGCGTGGCACATGAAGTCCGCGGCGAAGTCTTCCATAGCGTTGACAGTGACGATTTCGCCGCTTGCATTCTTCTGGCTTGACGCCCCAGGTGCCGCGTGTCCACCGGTCAGATCGGCAAATGCGCAGCTTGCCTCTTCACTAGCGGGTTCGCTCACCGCATCTTGACTGCTCGGATCGGCGATTGCGTCGTTCGTCACTGCGGCATCAGCGGCGGAAAACTTCGGCGTTAACGGCGGCGCCTGTCGTACTCGTGGTTTCTTTCTGGGCGGCCTTTTCGCGACGTTGAAAGCGAAGATGCTTGGCACTGCTTCCTGTCTGAGGTAGCGACGTTTACTAGCGACGTTCGGAATGTAGTCACCCTCTCGAAAGTGTCCTGAGCAGATCTTAGTGTACTTCGTAATGGAGAACTGCTTGCCTTCGTCACGTTTTATTGCAACAACCCATTTTTTTCGGAGAGCGGGGTCGGATGGGATGGTGAACAAAGATACCTTAAAAGAAGAAAGTATACAAATTCGCGAGAGGTCACACGAAATTCCCGAATGTTAACGTTATCTCGATACCCCAAGCCCAGCAACATCGCTTCTGTTTACAAAAAAAAAGGGTGCAGGTGCATGCTCCCTTCCGTCACGCTAGCGCTTGAGAAGAAGCACGAGACGGCTTATATCATTCCATGCTACTAATGTGGCGGGAACTCTTCCGTTTCGATTGTCGCAGCGGTCGCGTGCGTGCACCGCGCAACTGCGAGCGCACCGCCCAACCGCGAGCCAGAGGCATCCTTGAGTCCATTTTGCTTACACAGCGGCACACAGCAATGAAAAGGCGTTGCAGAAGCAGCGTGTGGCGAAGTATCAGCCGCGCAAGACCTTCTGTGGCCGCAGTGGTGTCGGTGGTGTAGCACACGTTGAGCAAGCGCCGACGCGACCATACATGCTTATGGCGGACGCACGCCGCGCCACACCCACCTGCCAAGCTTTGCAACCGTTCCGGTAGATGGCGCTGAATTTGTAAAAGGGTCTATTCCACAAATTCAACAAGCAATCTTATGGCTCGCATATAGAACAGCACGCTGTTTACAAACAAATACACGTTTGCCTGCACGAAGTTCGGGCACTGTGTCGTGCGCAGAAACTAGATTGGTGTCAAGCGAAGTGCCTTTGCATGCGCCGCGCTGACGGCAGCGTCAGCACAGCGGCGCGACGACAGAGGCACGAGCTGGTGTACACGGCGTGCAAGTTCGTCTGCTCTCTGTGCCCCTCGTGCTTTTGTTTACCCTCCAGATGCGCACACGTGCTTTTGTTTACCCCCCACCCCAACCTATGCCAGCGCGCGCTTGCCTGTCTCGTCATCGCGTATTTAACTGCGCCTTCTCCATGTTCCCCATTGATTGCCGTGCCCCGGCTCCCTGCGTTCTAGTGCGCCGAAGGTGCTTTTTTGAATACTTGATCACCGAATACTGCTATCTATCGGGTAAAGTTTAATGGGACAGTAAACCACCCCGAATGCGGTTTCTTTTGATTCCCAGGAAGAACGGCCTTATATATTGGTTCAAAAATATATGCTTTTAAAAACAAAATTGCCTAACCACAGCATCTGGCTGCACCCCACTGCGTACATTACCAGATCACTTCGTAATAATTAATGTAACGCATTCGGTTTTTGTTAAAAAAGATTACTATACCGCGATAAAAAACAAAAACAAAGGAGGGGGGGGGCGTGTTTTTTGCTGCATAAGACCCGGTTTTTGTTTCAAAATGTCTTGCCGTGCGTGTCATGAAACGGTGCGACGTACGTATGCTTTCTTTGTATATATATAATTATGGACCATAAGTGCGCGATATGTAAACCGTATCGGCATTTACGATAAACTAGGATTGGCAGAACATCCACCGATAACCTGCTCTTCCCGTTGTTCGAAGACGCTATTAAGCGTGGTGGTACAGATCCGCGTTTGCAACCTCGTTGCACCGACTGCACCAAGAAGTGCAGCTTATGCAACGTCGCGATTTATGTATTAACATTTTCGTAGAGACAGCTGTTTTTAAGGGGAGGCTGCGCCTCGTACAGCTCTGTGACCTGCAACCCGCATAATATGATGGCTCCTTTTTTTTTTTTTTTCATTTCATACCATGAAAACAATCTCTGGGATGAGATTCCCCTCTTTAAAAAGAAGTTTGAGCATGCAGATACACTCACTGAAATAACGGTAAAATCCCCGACCTCTTTAACTATTTTTGAATAAGATAATGGTTAGCGTTGAAACTTTGGCATCTCGTTCGGACCTCTAGCGCTACATTTGGGCGCAGAATGAGCGTTTGGCGATGCATAGATTTTCGTTATATTTTTTTTTGCGGTGAAAGAAACAGTGTAAAAACATTGTTTGCTTGTTTGTTTGTTTTGGGGGATTGGGGGGGGGGGGATCTTTTATGTTTGCAGTCAGTAGCAGGTTAACAAACCAGTAGTTACTCCGCCTTCAGTGCGAGCTTCCTCCCTTAGATAGCACTTCGTCGCACGCTCAGCCAGTCACCATGTTGTTGAAATTGCGTCCTCCAACACTGGACCGTCACACTTTACGTTCTGCAATAAAATTCATTTCCATCAATAAATGCACGGAATACAAGTAAAAACATCATAGTGAGAGCTCTTTGCTAATAATAGAAGAGTCAGAGCGACCGTTTTGGACACGCACTTTGGCCGTTTCATGCCGTTCGCGTGATATTGAAAGGGACGGGTCCACAATACGCCTACTTCTGCGGCGAGGATACCACAATGTCTAGTAAGGCAGTGCCCTCTCGCGTAACCGTGTTAACGAAGTTCAATATTTAGAATAAGATATAAGCAAAAGCTGAGGCTCAGCTGTCTGAAACGCTAATCAAACCGCAATAATCGCAGCGCCTAGTTTTAATCACTGCTTTGATGTCATTTGAAAAGTTTACTTATACGTTCGCCTTAGTACGGGGGGGGGGGGGGGGGGGGCATATTTGCAGCAAAATATGTCGAGCCTTGACTTGATAGTGTTTGGAAGTGCCTTTTTGGCGTGACAATCGACCCTTTCATATATCCCCGACGCAAAAAATAAAAGATATACCTCAAGAAGTATTTAGGGTCATTAATGAGATAATCATATTTTTAGTATTTTGACTTTTAGTGGTCCATAACTAGGCTTACTTAATAAAATTCGTTAGATTTCGAACTATAGTTTAGTCATATATAGACCTTTTTTTTTTCTTATTGTTCACCATTAATGTGTGCGCGAAAGCTCATAAAAATGAAAACTTCAAAGGCATCTGTATCCCACATCACCAAAGCTGCGCGATTCGAAAATTTATTGTCGCCACAGTTGTAACATCGCGATGAGACTCGTGATTTTCGTGCTAGACTCGCACCTTTTCACTCATGAAACAGCACACGGGTGGGGTTTGAAAGCTGAAAATATGCTAACTGGCAGTAGTGTAAAACGCATACTTCCTTATGCGTCTACTTTTCTTAGGCATAGAATATCAAATAGGTCTACGAAAGAAAGAAACAAAACTAAAATGTCGATACTAGTTTTTTATTTGCCATCGCGTGGATCGTTGATATCAATTCGATCCTGATGTCGTCGGTGAAAACAACCGAACAGCCGGTTAACTCTCAACTTTTTTCTCCTTCTTTTGCAGATTATGACCGAGACAACAATTACGTCGATTCTGTAAGTATCTTTTTTTTCTTTCTCTCATATATAGTACAAGCTTAAAACTCATCTTGGCAATCTCGTGAGATATTTTATACTCTAATTCAAGCATTAGTGCCCGGAACTTGTCTTGATTAAAAACAGTTATTAAAAAAAAAAAAAAAAAACTTCTTTTGGGTTTTAGGAATATTTAATCTTCATCAAAAATAATGCGGTGGTTAGGCGAAGCAAGATACATAGCGCATTGGAGACACCATACTACCATTATTTTTTCGTGCGTGCCTTCATAAAAGTGACAAATCAGCAACTCGCATTCCAAATTCTACGCATGCCCCTTGTCTTGCGCTACTTTGCCTATTCTATTAAAGGGGTCATGAAAAGATACCGGGTTGGAATTTTCATGACTTTACAAAGGCGTGCTGGTCCTAGCGTGGCCCACATAGGCTTGCGGGGATCACCACTGATTCAGAAGCCTCTTGGTCGCGGTGAAATCTCGAGGATAAAAGGGGACTATTTCTTTCAGTCTTGCCTCCGCAAAACTCGATGACGTAATGGTGGGATCGAAACCACCCGACTGACGACAGTCGAGCGCGGCTTACGGATTGGACTCGAGAACTGCGTTGGCACTCGACTTCGGCTCGTGACATTCAATGCCTAGGTGGACACTCGGGTAGTGGCTCGTGTCCAACCACTGCGGTGATAAACATAGCTGAACCCTAAGAATGCCTGGAGCTGAGCAAGCGTTTTCTGCTTTGCCGACCTCAGCACGTGGCTAGGATTAACGCTGGCGCCAGAGGATAGGCACCAGGCGACGGTAACGTTTGTTCTGACTCCGAGTTTAGGGGATGAACGAGGCTCATATTTCTCGAATTTATTTGCCGACTGCCATTGCTTAGAACGAAAAAAGAATCTATGAAACGTTTATTCTTGTATTAACCTGAAGGTGTGAGTTTGAGTAGAATTTAGCGGAACTGGAAAAAATCGTTTTATGCCCCTTTAGGATTTTCAATAACAAGACGTCTTGAAATTCACATGAAAGAGGGGTATTTCGTGCGTGCACTCTTCACAGTCACGACTGTGTTGAACTATAAACGTTCCGTTGAATAGACGAGGCAGGGGAGACGAAGACGGAAGAAAAAAGTGGTGAAATGAAGAATATAGGGGCAAACTTCCTAGTCTCGCACATCACAGAAACTCCGCTAGCGTGTGTACTAACTGAACGACTCCCCCACATCTACATAGCACTTTTCTACTCGACTTGTCCCAATGACGTCCTATATCAACTTACCAACAAAAAAACAACAACAAAGAAGCAACAGAAAAACACAAACACAAGAAAGAGGTTCTTGTCAGTCTTTTACCCAAGGGGCACGGTTCCCATAACGATTTCATCGCGCATGTATTCCTAGCCGCGGCCACCCCCGGGGGGCCATTACACCAACTCGAACGCGGCGAAGAAGAGAGCAACGCAAATCTGGCCGAAACGACTGTCCTCTCTCTTCCTTCCTTCCTTCCTTCCGGTTCGGCCGCGCTTCCGGTCCTCGGCGACAGCAATTACGCCGCTCCGAAGGCGACCCGGTCTTCCGGACGAGGGAAAACGGAAAGAATACCCGACGAGCTCCTCCCGTCCACTGGCACACGCATGCAGTGCCATGCACCACCGATGCTGCCGGTTAAAGTTACCAGTAGCGAGCGACAGCCCAGCGCATCTCGGCTACTGCCCGAAGCGCTCTACTGTCCGTTTTATTTTACCATGGACCGTAGAGGAAACTACGAGCCA